TTGTATATATATATATATATATATATATATATATATATATATATTATAAATAAGAAAACAGTATACGAGTGATACTAAACTAACACTAATGCTGATGTTTGTATATTGCTGTTTGTTTATGGATCTGATTGTGTGTGTGTGGGGGGGGGTGGTGTTGTGTTATTGCAGATATCAATGAGTGTATCCTGTATCCCAGTGTGTGTGTGGAACCTTCTAAATGTGTCAATGCTCCGGGAACGTTTGAGTGCCGCTGCCCTTCGGGATACCAGTACAACATGAGCTCACGCAAATGTGTCGGTGAGTATTAAAATGCTGATACAAGAAAAAATGAGATATAAACACATGACAGTATGGCTGAAATGTTAAGTGTTAAAAAATCTCTTTTGTTGATTTTGATTGCTTCCATTGTCCTCGTTTGTAAGTCGCTTTGGATAAAAGCGTCTGCTAAATGTCTAAATGTAAATGTAAAAAAATTAAATAAAAGTCACTTTTTTATAAAGTGCAGCTGATAGAATATTTAGTTTTACCTCCTGAATGGATGAACATCATTTTCTGAAGGTTCGTCTGATATATTCCAGAAAAGTGTCTGCTAGTTTCAGTTTAAATGTGTTATTTGTTCCGTAGATGAGAAACCAATCCTTTTGTGAGTGTTTCAGTGTTGACACTGCTAACTCAATGAAATTAAATGCATTTGAAATATTAGGTGGAAAACTTACTCTTTAAAAAAGACTTAGTTTTGTCAACTAACTGAATAAAATAAATGTGTTGATATATATATATATATATATATATATATACAATTTATTTAATTATTTTTTTATGTATTTGGGAAAAAATAAAAATTACAAAAGCATTTAACAAAATTAAACTAACATTAAAATGAGCTACAATTAAAATGAAAACAGAAACTTGGCTAATTCAAAATATAAACAAATACTATAGTAGTATATAAATAACAATAAAATATTTTTCGCTAACTGCAATAAAGCAGAAATAAATAAAATCTAAATATTAGATGGAAAACTTACATTAAAAAGCTTTTACTTAAAGTAAAAAAAAATACTAAAACTAAATGAAATAGAAATAAAATGAACTGGTGAAAAAAAAAATGTAATCTAAATATAATAAAACCTAAAAGCTAATTCAAAATATTAATAAATGTTATGATAGTATATAAGTAATACTAAGATAACTTTGGAGTGTGTAACATGAATTTTTCCCACAGGTTTGCAGCTGAATTTGATTTCCGCACATTTGATCCTGAGGGAGTGATTCTGTATGCCGAGTCTTCGCAGGACTCCTGGTTTATGTTGGGTTTACGGTCTGGCCGCATCGAGGTTCAGTTTAAGAATGAATACTCCATCAAAATGACCAGCGGAGGAAAAGCCATCAATGATGGCCAGTGGCATGTGGTGCGTTTGAATCAATCATGATTATAGATGATCATATTCCCTCTGTCTGAAAAGACCTGCTTCATTGTTCCAGTATGTGATTTACAGTCTTTCACATGATTGACCACTACTGCTGATGCACAAACACTGATGTTTCATTCAGGAACTGAACTTCTGCTTGGTTCATTAGTATCTATCAGAACACCATTCAAAAGTTTGGGGTCGGTTTTTGTAATGTTTTTTAAAGAAGTCTCTTCTGCTTACCAAGGCTGCATTTATTTGATCGATAACCATTCAGTAAAAATTTTGTTGAAATATTATTAATATTTAAAATAACTGTTTTGTGAATATATTGTTAAATGTAATTTATTCCTGTGATCAAAGTATTTCACATGATCCTTCAGAAATCATTCTTATATGATGATTTGCTGCTCAAAAAACATTTAGGATTATCATCAACAATTGTGCTGCTTCATATTTTTGTGGAAATTGTGATTTTTCACACATTTTATTTTTAAACATTTTACTTTTCAGGATTCTTTGATGAATACTGTAGAAAGTTCAAAATAACAGCATTTATTTGAAATAGAGATCTTTTGTAACATTATAAATAACTGCACTGTCACTTTTGATCAATTTAATGCATCCTTACTGAATAAAATTATTCATTTCTTTAAAGGGATAGTTCACCCAAAAATGAAAATTCTGTCATTAATTACTCACCCTCATGTCGTTCCAAACCCATAAGACCTTTGTTAATCTTCGGAACACAAATTAAAGCGGTGGCTCACAGTTTTTTTTTTCTAGGCTTGATTGTGTTTGTGGGGTGCAGTCTAACATGTTCATGCTTCGTTTAAAAAAAAAAAAAAGCATTATTTTTCACAAAATGTACCTTTATTCCACACAGCTCTGTCCCTTCTCTGAGAATCGGGCTGATCTTTTCCTGCTTTTATGAAGCCCCGCCCTCAGAAATAGGCGATGGGATCTGATTGGTTAGCTAGCCCAGTGTGTTGTGATTGTCTAAACGTCCCGCCCCTCACCTCAGCGGCATGTGCTCCAGTTGTATTGTAAACAAAGGCATGGTTAATATCGCTTATCAGTTTGAGCCCGATTGAGAAGCAGAGGATATTATTGAAGATGATCGTGCAGAACCTGTGCAAGCATGGCTTTTAATGGTAGGCCTATGTTTTTTGTTTGTTGTTGTCTCATACTTTTAGATATGCTGTTATTTGCAAATGCTACTACTTATGTTAGCTTTTAATATACAGTTTTATCCTGATTAAAGCTTTAATACAGTACGGCAACTGCAAGCATCCATGTTTAACGCTTCTCATAGCTATGTGAAAATAAGTTTATGTTTGTAACAGTTCATTATTGGAGCTGAGCTGAATGAGAGAGAGAGAGAGATGCAGAGCGTGTGCAGAGCAGGGGGACGCGAGGAACAGTATTAAGAACCACTGCTTTAGAACATTGATTTTGAAACTTGTGAATCCATTAGAATCGTTAGAAGGCAGAATCGCGATTCATATATGAATTAGGGGTTGCACCGACTAATCGACTAGTCGACTTCAATGCTCTGCCATGACGCTTTAAGCTTGACATCGACTAGTCGCTGGTCCTATAGAGGACGCAACAGGATGATAAATCTTTGAAGGACTTCCACATTTACGCTCCGTTTCCAAACAGTTCAAATGACAAATAAATGCATACTCTGAAAGCGCTCCACAAGACGTGTGATTATATTACTGGATGCTCGAAATTGAACGAGAGAATGCACGTTTTAAACAGCTTATTGTACAGGTAAGTTAATCGCCATTCTAATCTAATGCGCTGCTGCACTGTAACGCACACACATAGACTACAGACAGTAGCGCGTACATCACGCGCACAGAATCATTCAGAGCGGAAATGTATTGTCAACACTGTTCTGTGATTTCTCAATAAAATAGCTTAGAAACTGAAAAGTTCAAGCATATATTTCTTAATAACTAAATTCCACAGCTTCACTACTAGTAGAGAGACGCTGCCAGGTATAATTAATTCACACACGCAATCGCTCTCACTAATGCATTCATATTAATGTAATCTTTACTGTGCTACTTTATCGGTATCTGATTTAGAACGAGCAGAAATCTGTGAGAAATATAACGACTTAAAGACAAAATAACTGATAAAAAAGCTGTTATAGGAGCAATAGCCGTGTGGGCAGTGCTGTGTCATATGCCATAGCTGTGCACAAGGTGTTTGTCACAGCCCCAGACTTATTTGTTCATTAATGACGTCATCAGCGACTAGTCAACTTCGACTCGACTTCAAAAAATCAGAAGTCGTTCAACCCCTAATAGGAATAGACTTTTACGTGCACCTCTAGTTTTCTCTTCCTCTTCTCTAAAGCAGCGCAGCATGGCCTCGCCCCCTTTGCTACCTTTTCCTGAGGGCGGGGTTTATCTGGGTTTGTGATGTCACGAACCCGGGAAGTAACTTGTTGTAGTCCCTCCCAGCCGTTTTTGTAGGCATTAAACTGCCAGAATTTTAAAAGACGATATCTCCGTTTGCATCGAACTTACAGCTTCGTAACTTTGCAGATATTGTTTATGCTCAAACAGCAACATTACACCCTAACTAACGTTAAAAAAGTGAAATCGCAATCAACCACCCCTTTAAGATATTTTTGATGAAATGTGAGAGCTCTCAGACCCTGCATAGACAGCAACACAACTGTAATGTTCCCAGATCCAGAAACGTAGTAAGGACATCGGTTAAACAGTCCATGTGACATCAGTGGCTCAACTTCAGTTTTGCGAAGCTACGAGAATACTTTTTGAGTGCAAAGAAAACAAAAATAACAATTTATTTAACAATTCTTCTCCCCCCGAGTTACGTCTTCCGCCATTTTGGAGTATCACAACACATACGCACGCTTTCCCCTAAGCATAACGCTAATTACGCAGATTATGTTCATGCGCACGCCTTTCTCCTCCGAACGTAAACAACGCTGATTACGTCGATTACGCTCTTGGGTACTCTCCAAAATGGCGGAAGACGTAACTCGTAACTGAAGTTGAGCCACTGATGTCACATGGACGGTTTTACTGATGTCCTTACTACGTTTCTGGACCTGGGAACATTACAGTTGCGTTGCTGTCAATGCAGGGTCTGAGAGCTCTCACATTTCATCAAAAATATCTTAATTTGTGTTCCGAAGATGAACGAAGGTCCCATTAGTAATGAATGTAAAATAAAAGAAAAAAGAAGATTGTTCTCATGAGTGCGGATCATAATTTTCTATACTGAGTAATTAATGACAGAATTTTCATTTTGGGTGAACTATCACTTTAACAATCGTACGGACCCCTGACGTTTAAGCGGTGGCGTTTGGATGTGAGGTTCTGTCGGTTCTGGATTTGTGTGTGAAGTGTTTGCTGTGGTCTGTAGATCTCTGTGGAGGAGCTGATGGGAAGCATCAGTGTGAAGATCAGTAAAGAGGCCATAATGAGCATTAACAGTCCTGAGCGACTCTTCAGCCTCGTCAACGACAAACTGGATATAAAGGTTTACATTGCCGGCCTGCCTAATCGCAACGAGAGCCTCATCAAACCAGTGAGAATTCAAACACACACCTGACGCGTCATTACACATTTTAAATGCAATTAGCATTTACAAAACTTCAAAAATTATTTAATTTTTTTGAATCAGTGCAATATTTTCATTTTGTAACCCTAAATTCTCAACTGCACTTTTCTACCAATGGATTATTTTAATCTTTTTTTTTTTTGCATTGCATTTCATTAATGAGAAGATTATTCAGCTTTCCACTTTGAATTTGAGTG